CTTCAATACAGTTTACATGATTTACTATTTTTTGTCAGAGGTTGTCAAGAAATGCCAAGGTTCCCAGAAATGGATCTAAGAGCTTCCAAAAAAGGACTACATAGCTTTGCAATACAGATTAAATCGCTTGCTCACCAAATCATGATCGTGACCATACATACATATTTTCTTCGACCACATTGTATTATTTTTGTCTATAATATGATCTGATTCTGATTTATAGGTACCCGGCTATTGACAGCCAAAGATCCTGTCAGTTTGTTACTATTTGAGCGCTTAATCAGTTGCTTACACTGTACGCTTCCTGGCAAGCTGATAATGTCTTTGAGTGTCAGAGGGTTCACTGAGGGTAATAATAATAATAATAATAGATTGGTAGCTTGCTGTTGAGCTGAGATATGCACAATACAAACATCATCATCCTCTTCAATGCCTTTCTCAACCTGCACCAGGGTATAGGCCACGGACAAACACTTTCCACCTTTCTCTATCGTGGACTAGCCTCTTGATGTTAGTACATAGTATCTTCTCACGTTTCTGTACACCACTATACAAACTCTACTTATTTATTATTCATTATATTGTCTATATTATTTCCAGGAAGTGTAAAGACCAAAAACCCAGCCATGTATACCCGTGTTCTCCTCGTTGCCCTGGTCCTGGTCGCTTTCGCGCCAATTGCTGAGGCCCAGATGCTGCCTACCTTCGTCTGCGATTTGCTGGCCCGGTTCAGTGACATGCTTGGTAGGTTCTGTATAAGTTTTCTTTTCATTCTGAACTATTTCGAGGGACACATTGACAAGTGGGTGATCCATTATTCTTATTTCTAGCTTTGCTTTTAAAAGAGAAGTAGTGTTCTTCTTCTTCTTCTTCTTCTTCTTCTTCTTCTTCTTCTTCTTCTTCTTCTTTTTTTCTTCTTCTTCTTCTTCTTCCTTTTCTTCTTCTTCTTCTTCTTTTCTTCATCCTCATCTTCTTTTTCTTCTTCTTCTTCATCATCATCATCTTGTGCCTTTAAAAAAGTAGCACAGGTTATCTACTCGGGAAAAATCCGCTCCCTTAACTATGTATATTGTGTGCAAAGGCCTGTATTCTTTTATTTGTGTACAGTAATAGATTTGAGTACAAAACGTTCTGTTTTTTCTATCCGCAGGCTGCAACGACACCTCCACTGGCTTCGGCTGTAGTGTCCTTGGCTTGGTCCGGACCTTCTGTGCCCAGACTGAGGTCACGGTGAGTCAATTTACTCATGGTTAACGTCATTCCATAAGAACCTAGAACTTTAATTTTTGTTGTTGAAATTTTGTGAAATTGAAAAAAAAACCCAATGTTTTTTAAAATACCCCAACCCAAAAACGCCTAAATTAAAAACATGACTTTGGCAGTCACTTAGTCTCAATTTATGAAGAAAAAATAATAATAAAAGGACAATTTAATGAGGAAAGAACTAGGAATGAGATAACGAAACGAAATAGAACGAACGTACGATGCCCTTTAGTGTCTTTATCAAAGTTGCGGCTGTAACGTGCAAAACCGCAGACGCGGGTGGTTGGAGGGCGCCTCTGATAGGTCCTACTTCTTTACTTTCCCTCTGTTGTTTCTGTCTGCCCGTCTTACTTTTTCCCAGCACTAAATGACCACTATCTTGTCGATGTGCTTCACTTTACTCGAAACTCGAAGGAAGAACTCCCAGACGATGATTTATTGATAGATGAATACCGCTGACATCACTGAACTAGTATACCTGTTCGGTTTGAAAAATAAGGTCAAATACGCGCTCAAAATCTTTTTTTAAAATAAAATCTCAGCATGAACATATAATGTACTTCTACGTGGGGATAACGAAGTTAGGATTCTTTAAAGACACAAAACAAAAAGAAAAAAAAAAACCCGAACCCAAAACAACTCCAAACCAGCCTGTCTTCAGTTTGCACTCAGTGCAAACTGGGCGTCCTCAACGAGTTAGTGAAGATAAAATACAGCAATAATGTGAGATGTATTTTAAGTCTTCGGCCTAAAAAGGGGGGTGGTAAGGATGGGGAGGGTGAGGGAAGGGGGAGTTTCAAGAATGTCGTGCAGTGTCGGTGCTGCAGCTAAGATATCCCTGGTGTGTCTCTTTGAACAACGGATGTTAGCCAAATCAAAAGGGAAAAAAAGCGATCAATTACAGATTTTTATGCTGACTTTGCCATTAATTTTAATAAATAGCATTTGTATAGCGCATATGGCCGTTCAACGGAAAGATCTTTGCTGTTTGCAATTTATATTATTGCACCCGAAGACCCTAGAAGACTCAGAAATATTCTTGGCTTCCAAGGAAGCATACATGGAAAGCTTTCAAACACTAATTAACTGCTAAGACATTTTGCTGTCGATAGCTGGGTACTGATTCCCACTTTACCGAAATGAGGAAAATTCGTGTAAAATGGTTTCCCCAAAGACACAACGTCGAGTCCCTGGCAGGGTTGGGACCCACAAACCTTCTGTTGCGAGCCCAATCACTCGACCACCGACGCCACTATGTTTTTAACTTACTGCGTATATGCTACTGTAAAATAGTTATACCGCGCTTTTTTAAAGGGGTGACGTTGTTGTCAATAATCTACATGTTTAATACTGTATCTTTACTTTTCTTCCATATTATGGAGAAAAATAATTTCTCTTTTTTCCTTAATTTTTAATTTTTCTTCCTCTGTTGCCGTTAAGCGTCGAGGGGAGATGCAATTTTCTATGGAAGGTCAGCTCTGCAGCTCTTTCAATTTGGGTATTATAATTTCTCAGAGTTTCCTTCACTCCTCAACTTATCTTTTGCGCGTGGCCTTCCTCTTGCTTTAAAGCCTGAGCGCTTGGGGTGATAGGTTCTCGAGGCTGACTCGCTAGGGTGGCTAAATCATTTAAATATTTTCTGTGTATTTTTATTTTCTCTTTTTGCAACTCCAAAATAACCCTGTATCATCATTTGCTTTGTCAACAGAAGAAGGCCCACGTCTTCAAATACCTCTAAATAGATCCAAGAGAGGACTGTGCCAGATGTCAGCCTTCGTTCGTTTATGTTATTCTCTTTTCTAGAAATAGAAATAAATGTTTTATTGACTGGTTGTAACTTGTACACTCCGTGCAGAGACGTTATTATTATCTGTTTACAACGCATGTTGGTCAATGTTGTTCAAAAAATGTTGTGTGATTTTAGGTCACCGTTTCAGTGTCTTTACTGTTCTTTGCGTTCCTTCAGACTTCTATCTATCTATCTATTTATTGTTCTAACCTGTTCATATATGTTTAGTATACTCTATCATACAACGACAACTTTGCCTCATGGGCTCCTTATGGGCTTTCTAAAGCCACTCAAAAGTATGTGGGCAAGGTTATGCAATGTATACACTAGACCCTGTTAACGCTAGTTTACTGCGTGCTTCCTTTGAGTTAAAAAAAGTAATGTTGGAATCAACATGTCCTTTTAAATTATGGTGCGTGATGTAATGGAAACGATTACCCGGTGTTTTTCTCGAGAGTCAAGAGTGGGTCATTTCAAAGGCATGCCCTACAAATAGGATTTTGTGGGTCAACATTTTAGAATCATTATAGATAGGCCTTTGAGTCAGCAGATTGGCGCTATGGAGAGGTGAAGAATAGATAAAGTAAGTACGGGGAAGATGTCATAAATAGACAGTGAGCCAGCTGTGTATGAGTGGCACTCGTCACAGAGGAGGAGTGCCTAATGATGTTGAAAAAGAAAACTCACAAAAAAACCTGTGCGGAACTGCAAACGTTAAAGGCCCCTTGCAACACTGTAAGGTTATTTAAGAGATGGAACTGCCGAATTTAACGTCCATCTCCGAAAGACCCGAATGTCAAATTGGACCGTTCGTGCCTTTTGTAGGGAGTTGAGTCTCGAGCCCCGAACCCTCAATCTCACGAATACGAATCCGGTAAATTAACCTTGAAACTACCGACGCCACCCAGTGCTGTTGGGACAGCCCAATTATGATTTTCTACATCTTGCAGCATGGTTTGCAATCTGTTATCTGTAAGAAAAAAAGTATATTTCTGATGCTTTGAGCTTTCAACTCAACACAATGAACAGTTGAACCTGCTCTAACTGCCACTGTATAAGACAATCACCTGTACAAACAGCCATTTTTCTCTTTCTCTCTTTCGTTAATTTTTTACATTATAATAACAGTAGGTGAGACGTCCACCTATCAAAAACACAACAATAGGACCAGGTGCCTGTCTTAGACAATTTTGACTGTATTTCGAAAAGGGAGTATCATAATCAGCATGTGTGTCCATCTCTGATAGGAGGAAATAGAATTTAATCGTGTATTTCAAAAAACGTATCTGCATGGATTGAAAACGAGATCGACTACAACGGTGCAAATTTTGTCAACTATTATTAAAAAACCTTCCCAGTTGCACATCTGCGATGTTTGCATTGGTAAATGTTTTACTGCGCTCGCAAATGCACAATGTTATATGACCGCTCGTGACACATTAAACATTTTCAGGCTGGTAGGAATAAATTTCAAACTTTGCCCGTGTCGCGGCCGAAGCCTACTCATATGATTTTGGACCAATAAGGGATCTTAAACGTACGCAAGTTGCATATGGAGCCTCCGAGATTTTTCGTCATTTTCCGAGAAGGCTAGGTGTAAGATCTTACAAAGTTTAAAATCAGGGGTGTGGCTGAAACACAGCAGTAAGATAGAGGCAAAGAGTGGCAATAGAAAGGCTGCAGAAAGAGTCAGCAGCCCAGAGGAGGGGACTAAATGGGGCGAGGAGATGGGGGCAGAAAGTGGAGACGAAAGAAGACGACAGAACATGATTAGAGAGCAGGAAAGGAGGTGAAAGGATACAATTTTAGAGCAAAAGATCGTCCGTCGCTTTAAGGTTTCGAACCCGGAACCTATAATTGATTGAGAGACGAACACCGTACTCTCCAGACCACGGGAGTCCCAGTACATCATTAAGCAATGTGATTCGGGCAAACAAGAAGACTTTACCTCTGCTGTATGAACCTGGAAGCCAACCGGACGCGTCCTGTTGAAATTCGGGAACTTTGGATGTCCTCTGTCGACAGGTAAAGAACCTGGTTTCACTGAATGAATAGAAACAAAGTAAACACATGTTTCTCTTAGTACTTAATTTAACGAAAAAAATGTTCCCCCAGAGAATAAATTGACGAAAACAAAAACAAAAATTAAAGAAAATTAAGTAAACATGCCTCATTAAGTATAAAAAGAGAAAAGGTATATTCCGCATAGTATACATAGAGTAAACACATGTTTCAAAGACAGCATATAGGGTAAAAACCTGTTTCTCTAAGTTTTGATGAAGAAAACACATGTTTAATTGAGTAAAGATAGAGTAAACGTAGTATATTTCTCTGAGTATGAAAAGAGAGACAGTTCACAAGAGAGTGGCAAACATACAAAAGAAGTAGAGGGACAATGACGATAGTAGGGATGAGGAAAGAAAAAGCAGCAGTTACCCCTATGTATTAGTAGAGTAAACATAATATTATTTTTCACTAGGTGTGAAAACAGAAACTGCATCTTTCCCTAAGTATAGATAGACAAAATGCAATGTTTCTCTGAATATAAATAAAAGAAGAAAAAAAAGGTGAATGCAGCTGAAATGGGACATTTCTGATAAAAGCATACAAGACCCGGCGAGCTACGCATAAAAGTTGACGAACGCACAGTTAGCACAGCTGGTATCATGCCGGACTTCAGAGCAGATGGCCGTGGATCAAATCCCTAACGGAACGGAAGGAATGACGACGAGGGAGCGGTTTCTTGGCTTTTGCCAAGGTGGAGTTGAATATGCTTCCAAAAATTTCCTTAATATTGCCCACTCCCCCTCCTCCCAATTAAAAAAACCAAAAAAAAAAAAAAAAGATTTTCGTGATCAGCGACCTAAAATTTGTCAAAATCACGCCTGGAACGCATTTAATGCCGGAATACCAAGTTAATTTTTTGGGTATGTTTGTGTTTTGTCAAGGAATGACGCTTTAAGGGTTAAAAAAAAACAACAATTGTACGTTTAAATGGAATTTCTCTCATCGACAAACTATCAGTTCAAAGATGACTCCGATCTAGCGTTTGTCGGTTAAACTGTCAGATTGTTGATAAATGAACTGTACTGTAAAGGGACACTAAGAACCATATCGTAAAACGGGTTAGAACCACTTCAACAGTTAATGGGTGCACCAACGTCCGCAAAAAGGTCAGGAAAGAGAGAAATATAAATGGAGAAATGGTATGGGTTTAACGCCCCTATCAACACTATTAGGTTATTTAAGGGGCGGGACCTCCTAGTTTAACATCCGTCTCCGATAGGACCGATCCAAGTGGGAAGTTCGTGTAAAGTGCCTTTCCCAAGGACACAACGTCGGACCGAGCTGAGGCTCGAACTCCCGAACCCGCAAGGAAAGAGAGTAAAGAGTCTGAATTCGAATAATAATTATTCCATTGAGAATTATCCGGTTATCCGGATACGCTATCCGGATTTTCCCACCACTAGTGCACATACCTCCTATGCGAGATGACGTTGAAGGTTTGTAGACCCGAATGACCGTGACGGCAATGATTGCTAGGCCAGCCAACACCATCAGAGGAAGTATCCATTTATACGCTCGGTCGAGTTTCGTTTTCCCAGATCCCTTTCTGTTCCCGACTGTTTCTTTCTTAAAACTGGTGAATAACAATTAAATTATTATATTAATAATAATAATAACAATA